GGTATTAGGCAATTTAGTTCTGGAATCATTTTTGTTGGCCAATGTTAAACTTTTTCAAAAGTAGATGTTTTTCTGAAAGGGAAGGTGGGGGGGGGGGAACCTCCTCTATGTTAGATTTATACAGTAGAATAACTACCTTCTTTTCCTTAGTCAAAAAGGTTGCTTGTTTATTTCCAGGGACTTGTATTTTCTTTTATTTTTAACTGCAGCAACTTTCAGTGAATGATAGATTCTTACTGAAAGGACCTTTACTTCATTGTTGTTGCTTTATGGTCATCTCATTGTGTACAGGGATTCCGCGAAGCTTTTGGGGTTAGTCTTTGACACTCGTTTGTCTTGGTCAGCCCATATCTCTTGCCTCCGAGTTGAATGCTCTAAGGCCCTTAACCTCCTTAAGGTTTTGTCCCATACTTCTTGGGGAGCGGATAGGCGCACGCTCCTCTATTTGCACTCCTCTCTCGTCCTGTCTAAACTCGATTATGGTTGCCCTTGCATACTCTTCTGCTTCTCCTTCTACTCTTCGCCGTCTTGATGCTTTGCACCATACTGGGTTGCGTCTCGGCTCTGGTGCCTTTCGTTCGACTCCCGCCCTTAGTTTGTATGTTGACACTGGCTTTCTCTCTCTTCAGGACTGCCGTGATCGCTACTGTCTTCGCTATCTTGCGCGGTCCTTCCAACATCCTTGCTCTCGCCTCTGTCGTGCATTGACTTTTCCTCCTCCTGTGGTTCCTGTTCCTCTTCATTGTCTCCCACTTTCTGTCCAGTTATCTCACTTACAGGATTCTCTTTCTGTTCATATTTCTAATGTTTCTCCTCGTACTGTTCCTTCATTACCTCCGTGGAGAGTCCCCCTTCCCAAGTTTTGTACGTCCTTGACTTGTATTACTAAAGCCTTTACCCCTCCTACAATTCTGAAAAGCCTCTTCCTTGAGCACTTTTCTTCGCACTCCCACTCTATTTCCATCTTCCCTGATGGGTCTAAGTCTGCGGATGGTGTGGGCTACTCTGTTGTTTTTCCTGACCGTACTTACATGTGTCGCCTCCCTTCGGAGGCTAGCGTCTTTACGGCAGAACTTTATGCTATTCTCTATGCTCTTTGTCTCTTGCTTTCTCATTCTCATTCCTCCTTTGTGGTTGTAGTTGATTCTCGTAGTGCCCTCATGGCTCTAGGGTCCTTTAATCCTGTCCATCCGGTGGTCATTGAGATTCAACATTGGCTGTTTCTTATTTCTAGTAAATTTAAATCAGTAGAGTTTTGCTGGGTTCCCAGCCATATTGGTGTTTCAATGAGCGTGCGGATGCTGCCTCTAAGGAAGCTATCCGTTCTTGTCCCATCTCCCGTAAAGGTATTCCTTATTCCGACTTTTATCCTGTTATTCATTCTTCCCCGTTGGCAGGGTTGTTGGTCCTCTGTGGTTGGTAACAAGCTGCGTACTCTCAAACTTAGTGTGTCCCAGTGGCCTTCCTCCTACCACCGTAACCGGCGGTGGGACACTGCTTTGGCACGGCTGTGGGTTGGTCATACCCGCTTAACCCACGGTCACTTAATGGAGCGCCGCCCTGCTCCTTATTGTCCGAATTGCGTTGTCCCTCTTACAGTTGTGCATATCCTTGTTGAATGTCCTGACTTCCAGGACGAGCGTGTGTCTTGCTTTCCGACCGTCCCTCACAGTCACTTGTCCCTCGATAGAATTCTAGGTGAATCGGATACTTTTGATATCATTCGCCTTTTGCGTTTTTGTTCTCGTATTGGCATTCTTGGTGATATTTAGCGCCCTCTGATTATTTCGCACTTTGATGGTGCTACATGGCCTTCCCGGTTTGGTGCCTTCTTTTGGTAATTACCTTGCCTTCATTGTTGTTTCATTTTAATGTGGTAGTTGTGATATGGATTGTTCTGGCTCATGTGCAAGGTCTTGGATTTTTTTCTGTTTTGTATTAAGAAATTGCCAGTCTTGTTACTATTTGTAGAGTTAGAGATCTGCATTAAGGCCTCAATATTATATTCTTTATAACATGTTATCAGCAATTTTTGTGGTTGGTAATTTAGATTAATGTCAGTGATGTATATGACGAGGGTTAAGACCCCTTGTGGTATGACAGCATTTTTCCCAGTCATTTCTTTAACAAATGAAAGGGTCCTCATAACCATTCTTTTGTCCTTTCTACCATGTACCTGTTTGTTGCTTCTTGGTCTTTCATTTGGTACTTTGGCTATTAAAACAATGGCCTTTGGTAATGTTGCAATTACCATTTCTAAAAAAAATGCAGGTTCATTAGGCAGGGTTTGTTTTTAGCAAACAGTTTTACAAAAAAAAAATTCCATTCCTTCAGGACCTTGCAGATGTTAGGTCAAACTAATTGACATTAATCTGTTTTGCCCTTTCAAACAATGATGGTTTTAATCTAGGTAAAATATTTCAGAATATCTGAAGAGTTTGGCAGACAAATCATTTAAGAGCTTTGATTAAATTTAAGTTACCAAAGACTTTGTGAAAACAATGTTGTATAGATGCTTCAGTGTCACTGTTCTAATGTTTTGTAAATTTAACAATGATCTTGAGTTTAATTATAATTTGTACAAAGCTTAGGTGTTGCATAGCTTTAAATTTACTTTCAAATATGAAAACTAAAATATTGACTAAAGTTTCTTCAACTTTAATATTTCAGACTAATTTGCAATATTTGTTAGTTTATGTAAATTGAGTAGGTAGTCCACTTTTACATCTTTTCAATGCATTTTGCATGCACCTATGCAAGTTACAAATAGGTGTAAATTTTGCCAAGTATTTATTTTCAAAGTAAAAAAATTTCAGATGTTTAAACATTGCATCAATAGTAATAAACAATAATTTCCAGCATAATTTCAGGATAAGGTATATAAAGTAGTTTCATTAAAATTGTTTTATTTAATAAGTTTTACATATAGTATTTATAATACGTCTAATATTTATTACTGTTTCAGGTTGTGGGACAGATGCTCCTAGATGAACAGAAGATCCAAAAGGCCAAGACAACTCCAGAGACAATCACCTGTAAAAGAAAAATAAACATTAAACAGGGACACTACTTTTATTATCACCAATGCCTAATAAGCCCAAAAAATCCTACCACCCAATCTTTTAAAATTGGCTCAGCAAGGCCTATCCCTTCCTCTGATTTTAGTGCAAAGCTTGTTCCCTGAATGGGTGCATTACATCCACCACTTTAGTGCCATCAACACATTGTACATATGCTTTACTGAAAGCACTGTACAATGCATGCCAGGCACTAAAGTTTTAGATCCATTCAGCAAACAAGCCCTGTGAGAATTAACAATGTAACCATTGTTAAGGGTCCCTAAACCTATGCAAATCTAGTCCATCTATTAGATGGGTAGTAGAGCAAAGCTCTGAAAAAGCCAAGCCAGGGAAATCTGCAGGACTGCCTGGTCCCCTTTTATGAAATGGGGTAGGATCAGTACAAACTGCATCATCCCCTGTGGGTTGTAACAGTAGGACATGGTTACACACCTATAAATGGACTAGATAAGAGAATTAAGATTAGGTCATTGATATAGCTAAAACATCAAATTCAAACTCACCCATTTTTGTAGATTTCCTTTTGCAGAGTAAAGGAGCCTCACTCCAAGCCAGTCCATGCATCATAATCACTTTCACCTGAAAAATATTTCAGATTTAAAGCCAATCTTGCTTTACTTTTCAAATTAGCATTCAGTACTTTTGAAATTCAGATGGAGAAAATTTCTTTAAGGAATTTACCTTTCCTACATATTCTAGTAGCAGTAGTAAAGATCTAATTTAGAAATATAAATATATATGGCATCAATTTGCCAAGTTTCAGTAAATGTCATTTGAGAAACTATCCACAACTGCACTTCAATGGCAATTTACATTTAGCCAATGCTATATTGTTTAAGTTATTACCATTTTTTTACCTTTATGCAAATCTATTCAGATTATACCAGTTTAACAGTACAGGTATTGTTCATACCTGTACCACCAGTTTAACAGTTCCCGTTTTAAATGGCACACTAAGTATCTTGTCCCATCTTTATTAATTACAAACAAAGCTAGTCATTTCAAGTCAACATCCTACACAAATTTTATTTTCCAACAACTTTAGTCATGAGCATTTCTCCCAAATGCTAACAGCATGTACTGTAAGTAATTATCAAAAGAAGGCACCAAACCGGGAAGGCTATGTAGCACCATCAAATGCGCAAATTAATCAGAGGTACTGTAAGTTAAGTAATTCAGGAGTTTAAAAACAGTTTGGGAAAAAACCATTTATATTAAGTATCACTTTTTTTCCAAGAACATTCATCCGTAAACAGCTATTATCTTCGCTCACGATTTAGCAATCTTAATTATTAACCCTTTATATCATACAAAATACTACATTAAAGAGCCAGAGGTGGTAGCTGTATACCTTACGTAAACTTGTTCCATTGAATATGACCGCATATTCTGTATTTATTATTTTCTGGTTTAGGGCTTCTATCCCTCTAACTATTTTCTTAGCATCAGGGCTTAATTGGAATAGGAGTTCTCCAAAACTCATTTTCGTACTTTTAAGGTGAAGAAAAGAAGTGATTTACTATAGAGTGTATTACACTTATTTGTATAATTTGCACGACGTTTCGAACCTCCATGGTTCATTCTCAAGTGAACAGATCTTACAATACTAGTTGATTTTATACCCGCATTAGGTCAGGTGATAATACAATGAAGGTGAAAAACATGGGGGGATACACAAGGGATAAACATAGGGGCTGCAGAAGGCTTATTGGCCCATACGAGGCATCTCCTATCTAAACACAAAGATTAATCCAGTGTAATTGGCCTGTTATGTTGGACATTGTCTTCTGTGTTGGCATCGATATGTTCTTATCTTGTCCTTACTCTCATGGTGGGTAGAGTAAATAGTTCCGTGATTTGGGTGTTCATGGTAGGTCGCTCTATTCTTATGTGAATTGCCTCAAGAATTTGTAATCTTCTTGAATCTTGGGTTTTGTCTTACGTAAACTATAGATCTATTATTATTAACTAATTAACTGCCATTATACTCTATTATATTTTACCTAAATATTGCTGCCTGCTGACATGTAACTAAGGTGTTTAATGATTGTTGAAGTTCTAATATTCCAAGACGAGGTCTGATGGGACCTTTGGCGCCACTGCTCACAGGAAGAGTACGGGGTCCACAAACTAGCCGCCTCAGGCGCCAACAATCAAAGTCGCCCTGTCAGAACGCAGAGATGCTAATCAATTAACAAATATTGAGGAAATGTTAGCAATTCAGATATATTGGTAGTTATCCACTAAAAAAAAAAAAGGGGGGGGGGGAACGGTGACTCAAAGAGGGAGAGAGGGTCACCACACTTTAATGCACATGTATTTCACTTTTATAACTAAAAAACACCTATGGGAATAACCCTATTTTTTTCATCTCATTTCCTAATAACTACCTGCAAACTTCTGCCAAGACTACTTCCTTAGGGTTACCTTTAACCCATCTGTACCCTTTTATTTTATACCCTTGTATTTAGGCACCATGAGAAATGGTTCATACCAAACACCTACTTTCCTAGCCGAAAGTTTTTCAAATTCAATTTTTACTAAGTGGGAACAATAACAGCTATGTTAAGATTCAAACTGCCATCTTGGGTGATCCAAACATTATGCAGATTATGGCGTTTAACCAACAAAAAAATTTATTTACCATGTCACAAGGTATTCCACATGATGCACTGTAGTGTTCCGTGTCCTTGAACGCTGGGAGACTTAGGCTTGGGGTTCTGGCACCAAAGGAAACTGCTATCTTAAGTGCAGGAAGAACTAGGGTGCCGCTTCCCCAGTGGACTGTTGACCGTAATATAGAACTGAAAGAAAATTTTCAAATTAGTGTCTCTGGGGGGGAACTGTACATACTTTAAATTTTTGAAACTTACACTTTTACACACTTATTATACACTTTAAAACTTACTGTTCTTACGTAGTCTGTTTAGACTAAAATAGATGAAAAGCTTATCACCCGTCTACATTTTACTTTACATGGTCCTAATTAACTTTGAAACTACGTGAAGCTCTATACCGTACATTGCCGATCTACAACTTCTACAGCAATCCACTGTGGGGGAAGTGTCCGGAGATTAGCGTCTTTAATTGTATTTCAAAATGCGTTTGTCAACCTTCTTTACACCCTCGGGGTTCTGACTCTCGTATCTGTAGTTATCAGGGAAAGTTCCTGACCTGAACGATAGTTTACTTTTTACACACAAAATAGCCACAATTCGTTACTGATATATGCTACCGAAATGCAACTATAGCTATTTTTCAATAGCTACCACAGCGTTTATGCGAGGGGAATAAATGCATAGACATCCTAAAACATTAACAGAACCTACTTTGTCTTTACATTTTCACTATTGACCCTTTAATAGACTTTCCCATTACTAGGATTTCTTTTATAATCTGCCGATTTTAGTCATTAAACTTCAAATTTGGATTTTGTACTTTTACCTAGTAACCCCATTGTACACTTCAAATTTTTAATACATCTAACACTTAAGGTTTAAGCCAGGCATTAAAGGCTAGCTTCTCTTATGACACGAGGGTTGGAACAGTATCACAGGCTACTTTGCCTGCTATAATGCCACACGCAGCATTATGGGCACTTAACCTAACACTCAGTTCAAGCCAAATCAAACATTTTTCACCACCCCTCCATTAAAAGGGGAAGGGAGGACGCAACAAGGAATAAGGAGAGACCCTCCACATACAACTTACCTTCAAGAGACGAGCCTAGAACTATCCACCAAAAGTGAGGTAAAACACACTGACGTGATGTGTGTTTCATCCTCCCTTTATATCCAGCAGGCAACCACACCCGGCCGCTGACTGGTTGACATATTCACCCTCAAACTCACTCCATTCGTTAACATTTTCCGAGTCTGAAGTGTCAATTATCAATGGCCAACAACCACTCCTTCACCTCCCCAAATACGAGCGAGGCTCTGATGAACCAATAATGATTCCCAGCTCGAATGTTTGAACTTGTTAATTTCCAATTCCAGCCTGTCCTTCAAACAAAGACCCAAAGTCCATTCCATGCACCCGCCAAACCGTCTGTTTAAGATTCAAAATCGGTTTACACATGACTCACAACTGATGATGTCCCAACACTTCCGGAACAAGTGCTTCGCTGACGACTTTTGTTCGAACCACAACGCTATAAATGCTTCACCAACGTACTATAAATACAATTATTCGCCAACATAACCTAACCAGTGCCGAAATATGCACAATATACTAATATATCATAATACTATATTATATTTGAGTAAAGCTCTGTTTTCAGTGAACACAATGTTAAAATTGATGAATGCGTCTTTGGGGTCGACCGCTGCATGAAATGCACTTGGTCCCAGGACGGGTTGCAAAATCTAATTCACAAACCAAATACAACATTCCATTGTAAATGTTGCAACTGAACAACATGACAACAGAGTAACATTTCCAATGTAATCGCCAGTGAAGTATTATTCGTCGGTCACTCAAGAACTGTTAATGGCCCCTCGTCAACTACAATATACAGGATATGCAATAACAGACTAAGCAACCAAATAACCCAAAGTTCATGACAACACTAGATGATGTTAAATATTTCCTTTCACTTGATTTATGATATTCCTCGTCAATAACAAATTAAATGATTTTAACGTATTCAAGTGTCAACATTTATGCTTTATAATAACTATTAACGTCCAGGATGACATTGTTCACAATATTTCTGCGCAAGTGGCGTCCTCGACGATCACCACGTGACGCCGGATGGGTCCTCGGCGCTCCTCTCCTCTTCAAAACAAGACTTCTTGTCACCTTCCTTGCTCTTCCTGTCTCCGTCTCCCCAAGGTACTCCTCGAACGCCTGGAGTATAAGTCTCAAGACGAGTCTTATAGGATGTCAGGCGGTTGCCACCCCCTTCCTACACGTCCTTTGCAGTTCCAACCCTCTTCAGTTCCGCCTGTTACAGCTCTATGTTTACCTGGCGATTTATAAGCTTATAACGTCTTACGTAGCCTCCATCTCAGACGACCACAGCCAGACAGTAAGGAATGCAACTAACACCGTCTTGGGGTACCAAAGAACATCTACAACGACGGGATAACATAACACGACATTGCTTCTCACCACGTAAAGTCTGTCACGTGACAACAGCCTCTGATGTTGATGCCTCTCCTCGGTCTTGCCTCTCAATACTTCCTACTTGGGAACTTGTACACTGAACATTGCTACCTTCAACTCTGCCAGTGTGTCCTCAGGATGGATATAGGGTCCAAAAATAGTCACTCGATGTGTATGGGGTCCACTACCACCTGTAGGATCTTAATGAGCTCCACTACCATTTAATGGGGTCCACTACCAACCACAAGGTAAGTATGGGGTCCATTAAAGCCCACAGGATGCGTATGGGGTCCACTTCAGCCTACATGTGTGTGGTAGTGGACCCGCCCCATACCAATCCTGTGGAGGGCAGTCGACCTCATACTCATCCTATGGGCGGTTATAGGCCCAATACCTATCCTACAGGTGGTAGTGGAACCCTTAGCCATCCTGTGGATGGTAGTGGATCCCCATACCCACCCTGTGGGCGGGAGTGAACTCCCATACCCATCCTGTGGGTGGTAATGGACCATATACCCATCTTCTTGCCGGTAGTAAACCCCATACCCATTCTGTGGGCAGTAGTGGATCCCATACCCATCCAACAGGAGGTAGTGGGTCCCATACCTATCCTTTTGGGTGGTAGTGGACCACATAAACATCATGTGGCTTGTGGACCCTTTATCCACAACTTTATCCCTTTATTCATTATCCACTTTATGTATGTAAAACTTGAAGTCTCTGTACTCTCATAAACCCAATGTATCTTCTTGTATATAAATAAATAAATGCATAGATAAATACAATAAATAAATAAATACATTTATCTATCCTGTTTGCAGTAGTTCTCCCCATAGATAGGCCAACGTCACATCGTTTTCTGTTGACGTTTCTGCAATTCATTCTCTAAGATTTTCAAAGCATACACTATTGTATTATACAACAGGTGGTAGCTTTGTATACCATAGGCGAACTATAAACCTTAATTATAATTTTAATATTAATAATTATTATTTATTATTTAACTTCGCCTCAAGTCAACTAGATTTTCTTTATTTTCTCGGAATATTGCTGCCCTCAGGCTGCTCAGAGGCAATCAAAGATGGTAATCAATTCCCTCCTTACCAGCAAATGATTTAGCTAAATTTCGAGCACTCTGTGCTCAGTCCCACAAGGTCTCCGTGCCGTCCTCTGGGCTCAGTCCCACAAGGTCTCCGTGCCGTCCTCTGTGCTCAGTCCCACAAGGTCTCCGTGCCGTCCTCTGGGCTCTGTATTCCACAAGGTCTAATTACAGACTATTCCCAGGATGCACGAACTGTATAATAAATTGACTGTTTTGCTAATTATTAATAATCTTTTCACATATATTACCCAATTTTTTCAATCAACTGTTATACTAACTACTAACTTTTTCTAACACACACACAGAGAGAGAGAGAGAGAGAGAGAGAGAGAGAGAGAGAGAGAGAGAGAGAGAGAGAGAGAGAGAGAGAGAGAGAGAGAGAGAGCAGAGAGTGGGAGAGAGAGAGACTGGAGGAGAGAGAGAGAGAGAGAGAGAGAGAGAGAGAGAGAGAGAGAGAGAGAGAGAGAGAGACAGAGACAGAGAGAGAGAGAGAGAGAGAGAGAGAGAGAGAGAGACAGAGAGAGAGAGAGAGAGAGAGAGAGAGAGAGAGAGAGAGAGAGAGACAGAGAGAGAGAGACAGAGAGAGAGAGAGAGAGAGAGAGAGAGAGAGAGAGAGAGAGAGAGAGAGAGAGACAGAGAGAGAGAGAGAGAGAGAGAGAGAGAGAGAGAGAGAGAGAGAGAGAGAGAGAGAGAGAGGGGAGAGAGAGATAGATAGATATGGGGGGGGGGGGGGGAAGCAGCCCGTAACAGCTGTCTAACTCGCAGGTACCTATATACTGCTAGGTAACAGGGGCATCAGGGTAAAAGAAACCCTGCCCATTTTGCAGGCGATGAGTCACAATAACGTGGCTGAAGTATATTGACCAGACCACACACTAGAAAGTGAACGGACGACGACGTTTCGGTCCGTCCTGGACCATTCTCAAGTCGATGACTTGAGAATGGTCCAGGACGGACCGAAACGTCGTCGTACCTTCACTTTCTAGTGTGTGGTCTGGTTAACCTGCCAATTTTGTTTTTCGCCGGTGCCGGGAATCCAACCCCGGTCCGCAGGATTACGTGTACAGCGTGCTGTCCACTCCGCCATCAGCGCCCCTGGTAGGGGTATATAGAGTACACGTGAAAATACAGAACACATGTGGTGGTACAAAGGACATGTGATGATACAGGTAGATGTGTTGGGGTACAGAATACGTGTGTTGGTAGTACTGAACTCAATACCCATCCTGTGAAGGGTATTTATTTTATTTATTTATATACAAGGTGGTACATTGGGGTTAAGAGAGTACATAGTAATGAATTTACGTTATTGTAAAGCCACTAGCACGCATAGCGTTTCAGCCCAACTACCGTACTACCTACTTTGTACTTACAAGCTAAGTATTACCTGGTATTGGTTCCCATACCCGGTAGTACAGTCGGATTCGTTCTCGACGCACAATACAGAATTCTGGGTTCGAATACCGGGCGGAACAGGAATGGTTGGCACATTTCCTTTCACGTAATAGCTCTGTTCACCTAGCAGTGCGTATATAGGTACTCAGAAGTTAATCAGTTTCTCAGCCCCGCTCCTGTGCCAGCTAAGTCCACTACGGGCACACCATAGCCCGTGCTACTTGAAACTTTTGTTCTGAATAGCTGAATCTAAAACAGCTACATAGTCAGCTTGTTGTGGGGGCTACAGATTCAGATTCAGATTCAGATTCAGATGTTTATTCAGGTAAGGTATATACATACAAGTGATGTTACATTAATGGATTGATATATAGATAGAGCTAGTACATACAATGCCTAAAGCCACTATTACGCAATGCGTTTCGGGCAAGAAAACATTAATATCTAGAACTTAATACTAATTGAGCATAAAGAATAAAAGATGTTGAGAACAAATACAAATAAAGATAAAAAAAAAAAGGGGGAACATGACTGAAAAAGCAGCACAAATACAATAGGTTGACAAACAGTGTTGATTAAAAAAAAAAAAAAAAAAAAAGAAAATAACAGACATGGGTTGACAATAGAGGAGTGAGGTAGATTACAGGGAATTTATTAGGTAGTGTTTAGTTTTTATCTTAAACTGGTTGAGAGAGGTACAGTCTTTAACATGGTTGGGAAGGTCATTCCACATTCTGGGCCCCTTGATTTGCAGAGCATTTCTAGTTTGATTAAGACGTACTCTAGGAATATCAAAACTGTATTTATTTCTGGTGTGGTGCTCATGGGTTCTGTTACAACCTACTATGAAGCTTTTAAGATCAGGATTGGCATTATAGTTTAGCGTTTTATATATGTATAATACACATGAGAGAATGTGCAGTGACTTAATATCTAACATATTAAGAGATTTGAGTAGGGGTACCGAGTGATGTCTGGGGCCAGAGTTGGATATTGTTCTAATAGCGGCTTTGTGTTGGGTAATTAGAGGACGTAAGTGATTTTGGGTAGTAGAACCCCAAGCACAAATACCATAGTTGAGATAAGGATAGATAAGGGAGTAATAGAGAGTCACCAGGGCAGGGCGTGGTACATAATATCTGATCTTAGAAAGAATGCCCACAGTTTTTGAAACTTTTTTAGATATATTTAGAATGTGTCCCTGGAAATTCAGCTTGTGGTCAATGAGAATGCCAAGGAATTTGCCATCTAATTTGTTACAAATTTGGGTATTGTTTATTTTGAGATTTATAAGACTAGAGGATTTATTGCCAAACAGAATATAGAAGGTTTTGTCAATGTTAAGGGTGAGTTTGTTGGCAGTTAGCCAAAGATGGACTTTATTTAGCTCAGTATTTACTGTGGCATTTAGAGCAAGAGGGTCAGGACTGGAGTAAATGAAGGTTGTGTCGTCAGCAAATAGAATTGGTTTGAGGTGTTGGGAGGCATTTGGAAGGTCATTAATGTAGATGAGAAAGAGGAGAGGGCCAAGTATGCTGCCCTGAGGAACACCAATGTTGATGGGTAGGGTGGGAGAAATTGTATTATTCACAGAAACATATTGGAGCCTGTCAGTAAGGTAGGACTCGAGGTATTGTAGGGAGTGTCCTCTGACTCCATAATGATGTAATTTAAGAAGAAGGTTATGGTGGTTGACAGTATCAAAAGCTTTACGCAGGTCCACAAATAACCCAACAGGGAACTCCTTTTTATCAAGAGCTGTATGAATCGAGTTAAGCATACTAATAAGTGCATCGTTAGTGCTTTTTTTGGGTCTGAAGCCATATTGGCAAGGGCTAAGTATATTGAGTTTGGCTAGATATGAGTAAAGCTGCTTGTATATAAGTTTTTCAAAAATTTTTGACAAGTTTGGCAGGATTGATATAGGTCTGTAGTTGTTAACATCTGTGGGGTCACCACATTTGTGGACAGGCGTTACTCTCGCTTTTTTAGAATATCTGGAAAGGTTTGGAGTTCAAGTGACTTGTTGAAGAGCAAAGCAATAGCAGGGGCTAAAGATCTGGAGGCTTTTTTGTAAATTAAAGTTGGTATCTCCTCAAGGGCACCAGACTTGGTTTTAAGGGAAAGGATTATCTCATTGACGTCAGTGGAGTTAATAGGCTTTAGGTACAGAGACTGTGGATAGTTACCTGTAAGATAGTCCTTAATGTCAGTACTGGAAGATGGAATATCATTTGCAAGGGATGAACCAATGGAAGAGAAGAACCTATTAAACTCAATAGCAGAATCAGAGGCTGAAAGCTGACCATCGTTATTAGACAGGAGAGTCGGTTTGTTATTTAAAGATTTCTTTGATCCCAATATTTGTGAAATTGTGCTCCAAGTTTGTTTAATGTTGCTCTTTATTTGAGTAAATTTATCTTCGTAGTAATTAGTTTTGGCTCGTCTAATTATCTTAGATAGCAATAATGAGTAATTCTTTGAGAATTCTTTGGAGACAATTCCTAACCTATACTTCTTCTCAAGGTCGTGTTTTTTGTTAATGGATTTCAGTATTCCCTTTGTAAGCCAAGGATTGTTAAGCCTTTTGCTTGTGACTTGTTTTGTAAGCCTAGGACAGTGGGTGTTATAAAGGCTAAGAGTTGTTTGTAGAAAAGATTGCACTGCTAGGTTGATGTCCCCTATGTTACCTAACTCGGACTCCCAGTTGACATTATCAGCAGCAGTTATAAAATTGTTTATAGCAGTTTCATTGTGCAGCCTAAAGCTTAACTCCCTTGTTTCTAGAGGTGGTTTGCTAATGTTAGTTAAAAGAAATGTGGGGTAGTGGTCTGTAGTGCTATCGGTGATTATACCTGAAGTAAGCGGAGAGGTTATGTTGGTCCAGATGTGATCTAGAGTCGTGGCAGTGCTATCAGTGATTCTAGTAGGTCTAGTGATTAAGGGTATGAGGAGGCAGGAATTCATACAGTTGAGGAAGCTAACAGCAGTAGGGTGTTCTGGCTCGCAGAGGTCAATATTAAAGTCCCCTGCGATAATTAGGTGGTTTTTGTTCAGTCTGTTATCAAGTATTAGATTTCTAAGGTTTGAGTTGAATCCAGACACATCAGTGTTGGGAATTCTATAGACTGCACCCACAGACAGGACAGACTCGGCACCCTTGACTCTGAAGCTGGCGAAGATATACTCCCCATAGCAGTCTCTAGTTCTAATTTCTTTTAAGCATGTTAGTTCTTGGTGGTAGTAAAGAGCAGTGCCACCACCTCTCTGAAGTTGACGACAGTTGTGAATTGCTGAGTAGTTAGGCATGTTAAAGAGTTGAGTAGTATCCTCTTTCAACCATGTTTCAGTAAGTATAATAAAAGAGAATTTGTTGCCAATAGTTTCAATCAAGGCACTAACATCATCGAAGTGTTTACCTAGGGATCTAACGTTCAAATTGATTACAGAGATATTGTGATTATGAGTTAATACATTGTTTACATCATGTGCTTACATCATGTGCTTATCTAGCCATCATGTACTGCTTTACATCATGTGCTGCAGAATGATTACATTCTGGCTTCCTGCCCCCTGACACAATGAATTAGAATTATTATAGGCGTACTATGGCACATAAGGAAGGGTTGGTGCCTAGGTGATAACTAGTAACTTCAAATCTACCACAGGGAAACTATGAACATAAGCAGCATAGGGACTATAAGCTTCCAGTTACATATACGTACTATGTTATAGCGAGAACGGGTTGTTAATATGAGTAAGTTTTTACTAAGATACTGAGGTAGAATGCTTACATAAGTACACGGAGAGTTTACTGCGAAGTTAGGCATTTTATGGATGAGAAAGCATGAGAGAGATAAAATCGTTAAATCCTAAGTATATCATGGTTCTTATACTTGAAATATTGTTATATTAAATGTTTGAAAAATAAAGCTTATATCTGTATTTTCAATCAAATATAACAAACTTTAACGTTTATCAAACCATCTTTGTAAATTACATAATTATTGAAAATTATACAGCCCTGTGTTCCCCATCTGGCTGGACCCTCGACTTCCTATGGCGTTACCGACCATATATTTACTTCTAACTTAGTTATGAAATTAGATTATATCACAGTAACACATCATTTGATCATATTTCCTATCATTCAGTGCATTCAGCACCAACATTATAATGAATAAATGTACCATATATCATCAATACTTACGTAATGATAGCAGACTTTGAGTGGCTTTGGGTAGCTCTGGGTAGTAGTTCCAGGGATATCCTTCCTAGAGGGATCCTTCGAGGGAGCCGTATTCTTTACAACTATGGAGGACCCGGCCGTCACTAATTTCCGCAACTACATTAGGATTAACACCGTCCAGCCCAGTCCTGACTATGGTGAGATGATTCTATTAAGTTTTAGTCTAAGTGGTTTCCCCCCCCCCCACACCGTATTAGTGACTTTAGGCATTGTATGTACTATCTCTTATCTAGAAATCCAACATTATGTTTGTAACTCATCTCGTGTATTTATTTTTACCTGAATAAACATTTAATTTGATTGTATTTGGGGGGGTAGTTGGATTGTTTAGTCCCCGTGGCGTAGTGGTAAAGCGCTCGGCCCGCCGCTTTGGCCTGGGGTTCGTAGCCGGGCCGGGGAAGATTGACTGGGCACCAGTCCTTAACTGTAGCCTCTGTTCACCCAGCAGTGAATGGGTTCCTGGTTGTTAAACGATTTGGCGGGTCATATTCCCAGAAAAATATTAGGATTAAGGACCTGCCTGAAACGCAATGGGTGCTAATGGCTGTTCAAGAATGTAAAATCTCTTATATAAATAAATAAAATAAATAATTATAATTGACACTGGCAAGTAATTTTATTTTAAAGTTAAGCTTCACATGTCACCATTTTTTTGTATTAACAAGTTTAGGTATACACAGCAATGTGCTGCTACCCTATTCTATAAGAAAGCTTACACAGTGTAGATCCAAAAACTAGCTAGCTAAAAGTTCATCTATTTATGTATTTATTTACTTTTATTTATTTATTTATTTATTTATTTATATTCAAGAAGGTACATTGGGTTTGTGAGAATACATAGCATGGTATTTACAATCTTGTAAAGCCACTACTAGTATGCACAGCGTTTCGGGCAGCATGTCTAATATCCCCATCTCACAGGATGCTTAGTGAGGGGTGCTTGTTAGATGAGCTTGGAGCTGGTTAGTGATCTACACCGTGTGGTGCTTCTTACAGAATAGGGTAGAAGCACATTCCTGTATATTGTATACATAAGCTTGCTTTAAAAAAGAAAAGAAGTCGTGATGAAACTGGTACGAGTGATTATAATCAAATGTTATAATGATTCAGTGCTTAGCTCTTGTGAAAATCGTTAAGCTGTTGGTTAGTCAGAGTTGATTAGTTTTTTGTATTGAGGCTGGTATTTTCTCCCATGATTCAATGTATGATTAACCATCCTGTGACATTGGAATATTAGATGAACGTATAGCTAGTTTTTGATCTGCACTGTGTAATCTTTCATATAGAATAGGGTAGCAGCACATTACTGTGTATGTTCCTAAACTTAGTAATTAAAAAAATAAATCAAATCATAAAAATAAAAACATTAAAATAAGTGATCTCTCATACCAGGAATGTTTGAGGCAGATTTCATCAACATTTTTTACAATACTGAACAATTTGGAGGATGTTGATCCAATTTCTTTTAAAGGTCAGATGTAAGACAAATAAGGACAAACACTTTCAAGTTCCACAAGCCATAATGTAGGACATAAAAAAGGAGATGCTTCTTCACCCATAGGGTTGGAACCCACAGGTGGTACCCTACTTATCACATTTCTCCAGTCAGATTCATTCCCATTTAACACAACCCTTAGTTTTCTTTGTTTTAACCATTGTTTTATCCATTCTAGTATCCTACCATTTATTCCATGGGCCTGTAATTTCCTTGCCAGTCTTTCATGTGGTACCTTATCAAAAGTTTTAGTAAAATCCATGTATACAACATCCACCAGAAGTCCTTTATCTAAGTAGCTAGTTACTGTTTCCAAAAATGTGAGCACATTTTATGCAACATAACAGCTAGTTAAAAATTAAATACTGCACAGTTGTAAAGCTAAATACATTTTAACTGTTTTACATGTTGTATATTCTTAAATTTCTTTTTAAAATAGTATCCTGCACCAAGTTCCTAGAGGAACAAGCAAAGGAACTTGATGCTGATTGTCAGGTGATAGAGTGTGTTCCTGGAAAGCCCATCGTGGTGATGACACTGTTGGGCCAGAATCCCAATCTACCATCGCTACTTCTCAATTCTCATACTGACGTTGTTCCAGTGTTCCCGGTGCGTATTCTGTCCTGGCTAAATGTTCAGATGTTAAGAATCTGTCAAGCTATTAATAATAATAGTTTATAGTTGATATTTTTTTAAATAAATGCAGTTACAGTGTGTATTACAAATCATTAATTTTTAATGGCCTTTTTCACATGTTAAAAATGTTGAGTATGGTATTTTTGTTTTATAGTGAGTGTATCTTCATGCTTGAACATAACCATCCTTTTTAAATACCAGTTGGAGTGGTAATTATTTGTCTGTTGCAAAAACATAGGCTTTATCAGATGCAATGATCATTTTCATAATATTTTTAGCCAAACAAATGTTTTTTTGTGAATTGGAACATAGTGAGAATGTTGTAGACAAAATATACTATAATCACTACATATACTAAATATAATCACAATTTAAATTAAAAATTAGTCAAAGAAATTACAAAGGAAAAGTGGTAACTAGTCACAAAAAGAGGGAATTACTGATAAAACTCAGGAGTACCCCTTTCTGTAACCAGCTTGGTGACAAAGTGAGGCATTGGTTGCAGCAATGGTTTCAATGAAGTATGTGAAGAGTGTATGTAGTGTATGCAAAATTCTTTAGTACAAGGACACCCAATTTGCACACTAATACAACAAGGCAAGTAGAGCTTCAATGCTGTACAAAGTAGTGGCAATAATAATTGGTTTGTGATACAGTACTCTATCATTTTTATTTCATTTTATGGCTGGCTGAATTACTATGAGGTTTAATGTTATGAGCAAACTAAAATACAGTACTGTATGCATAAATGCATGTTTTATGCCTTGGAGTACAAAATAAAAAAGTTGAAAATGTTTGCGCCTGTGCGGATGCCAAATGGAACAAAATTTGAAATGGTGCAGAAGGGAGTTTGTCCTGATTAATCTGTTTGAGCATGAGTATATGGTATTTAACATAACAACACATTTGATAATGTGTTTTGAACACTCAGAACTGTCATTAATTTTAGATGGAATAAAGTAAATCATAAGTCTTCAATCATAAAGGTATTAGAGGGTGTGCATTTACTAATAAAGACCATGAATAATGTTTCTTTAGTTGTATAACAACCCAGCTCGGCATATAAGACACTCTTCCAGTATTTTAAGGTGTCAAATATTTTTTCTTTCAAGCATGAACAAGATAATACTTACTGGTCTTCGATTATATGATAAAAGTTCTGTTGGGGTAATGTGCAATGTGTCATTTTACCTTACAGGACCAGTGGAAGTATGACCCATTCAGTGCTCACAAAGACGAAAATGGGGATATTTATGGCCGTGGCACTCAGGACATGAAATGTGTTGGCATACAGTATTTAGAGGCTCTTAAATACCTTAAGAAAGAGGGGCATCAGTTCCTCAGGACAATACATATTTCCTTTATGCCAGGTAAGGTTATCCATGCACCTACACTTTATTTACTCAGTTACTTTACCACTGATTACACATGCTTGTAGTTTCTTTGCTAATCTTTCATTTGGTTCCTTATTAAAAGCCTTAGAGAACTTCCTTAACACTACAGTGACTGTGTATAATGTATTTTTAGCATAATGGAAATTATGTTAATGTATAATGTATTTTCTTCTGCATGAACATATTTCTGCAATTTTCTTGGGTCGGAGCACAATGATTGATTACAGGTATACTGTACAGTATTCTATAATTTGAAAATGACATTATATTCACCTATATGCACTTGCAGGGCAAGCATCAGCTCATAGACCCTGCACTGCAATTGCCTGGCACCAATTGCAATGGTGTATTTGGTTCTTATAATGCATGCTATTGAATTTATATACGAGATCGGCTTCAACTACCTCCACTTTTTGTTTATTCCACTTACTCACTCATGGTGCATAAAAGTGCCTCCTTACAGCCCTATGGTTCATTTGGGTTAAGTTTCCACCCATGGCAATTTGCCCTTTCTTGCTCATGATAAACATTTAATTTTTGTTAGTTTTGTCACTACAAGTGATGTCTAACCACTGCATAGTGATGTCTAATCTTCCCTCATATCCCAGCTCTACAATTCAGTGATCATTCTATTAAGAATCCCACAAAGTTTTAGGGTTACTCGTAATTATTTTACATTGGGATTCCAATGTATATTTTTAGGAGGAAATAAATACTGAAGTTTGTTTTATCATTAACTGAATGTGTTGGCTGTAAACATTTATTTTTCAGATGAGGAGATTGGTGGTGTGGGTGGTATGAAAAAGTTTGTGGAAAGTGCTGCTTTTAAAAAAATGAATGTTGGCTTTGGTCTTGATGAGGGATATGCCAACCCGACTGAGAACTTCACTGTGTTTTATGGAGAGAGAGGAGTGTGGTGTAAGTTTTTTGTTCTATTTATTATACCCTTATCAGGGACACAACAATTCTATTAGGCTTATCTAAGTCCCCTTAGCCATGGATGATGCTGTAACCTTGAGGTTGCCTGTCCAGTTACTAGACAGATCCAATAATAATTTATAATGGGCTAAAAGGATAACTTTAGCTCCATCATTTAAATTTTAATTTTAATCTCAATCTAAAGAAAATTAACCTTTACTGCAACAAAGCAGCAGCATCACGCAGGTACTGTGTTTCTGCAATTGATCCTAGAGGACCTATGTTTATTCATTTTCTATTCTGTATGGCAATGATTATCTGGAAATTACTTTCCTGTAACATAACTTATTTTTTAATATAACTTCCCTAAAGACGGGTTTGTAAAGTTATCTAAGGAAATACAGTTTGTTTGGGAATTTTACTTTTTAATGAGCACCTTTGCCATAACTTTAATCAGTGTTTTTTTCAATCCAAATGAACACTTTGCCAATTTGAATGATATGCTTCATCCAAGTTCAATTGCAGGGATGAAAATAAAGTGCCCCGGTCAACCTGGCCATGGATCACAGTTCCTGCCTAACACTGCAGGAGCAAAACTGAAGAAGGTCATCGATTCTTTCCTCAATTATCGAGACCAGCAGGAAAATTTGCTGAAGGAGAATCAGGACTTGAGTCTTGGGGATGTCACTTCTGTCAATCTTACAATGCTTGAAGTAATTTCTTCATTACTTTCAAACATGTCTTTCTCCATCATATATTTATATATATTATTCTGAGACTCCCATTCTTGTTGCTAAACTTTCTCAATTCTTGTAGATTCAACAATCCTTGGCATGCAATAACACATTAAATATTTATATAGCTATTCCAAATGAAGCAGAAAATGGGATATTGTGCTCAGTGTGTGCCAATTACTTTGCATCTTTTCAAAATATTTTCTTTTCACCTTGACAATAAGTCCTATTTCTACAACATTTATTTTTTTATGGAAAAGTACGATGAACCTTTAAAAGTAGAAACAAGATAAACTCGGGTAAACCTATTAGGCTTACATCAGTTCTTGGTGTAGACTTTTTTTCCTTTTGGTAAAAGGGAAGAAACTAGCTCCTGCAGGTCAACGTTCTATCCCTGATAGTCCAAGGAGTTTGGCAACATTTCTTCACTTAGTTCTCGTATCCCAGCTCCTATCCTGTCTCTGTATCCCTTCCATGTGCTATATTGTCATATTGGCTTAACACTTTCTCTTCATACCTAATGTTCTCATCAAGGAATTTTTCTAGATATTTTTAAATTGTCTGCAGAGCAACATGTGACTGCCCTGTTGAAAATTAATTGGAACCATCCCTTGGTTAATCCTTACATTTGGATAATTCATAAATTCATATACAGTACTGTAATCAAAAGATTTTTTGTTATAATGCAGAGCTTATTTGTCTAATCAAAAGACCTTAACTAGACCACTTCATATTTTTCTTTATGACCTATTATTTTTGGTCTATCTCTAGATTATCCATCTGGTAGCTGGATAACCCAGAAACCTTATCTGAACCAGACACCAGTCTCTTAATCTGAAGAAACGGATAATTATTCATTCTCTATTTTGGCCTTTAGTTATCTTTTAAATACTTCACCTAGATCTCTTTATATTTTGAATAGAAACCATCAATAAAGACACGCGTGTGTCATTAAGTTATTTTTATTGCAGGGCGGCGTACAGTATAACGTGGTGCCTTCAGAACTCAACGTTGGCTTTGACATCCGCATCGCCCCCACCGAAGACTTTACAAAATTGGAGGAAAAGATCAAAAGCTGGTGCAAAGGTGCAGGAGATGATGTCACATATGAGTTTGTACCCAGTAAAGGCACACCTGAAGACGGCAAGGTAATTGGCTTAATTTGTTTGTTTTTGTCTATGATTAGCAAATGCTCAAAATGCAATGTGTATTAAGGGCTTTATGTAATATACAATTTCCTACTACAGTATTAATTAATTACTATAACATGCTTCCATGTTTATTTTATAAATATAATTATTAAAATAGGGTATTCGTGTATATTGCATGAGTATAAGTACCATGCACAAACTACATCTATTAACTACTTAGCATAAGCTGCATCTGATAGTTATACCATTCTCTGGCTTCCTTCCTTGTCTGGCATTACTAGTGTGCAAACAATTATCTGTCTTTTAGCTATGCCACAATCCATGGTTTTAAGTTAGTTAATTGAATTACTATCTTACTTTTTAGCATTAATATTTCACACTACCATAGCAGGATCCTGTAGTACAGTGATCTGTCTTTTGTGCCCATCCGAGATACCCGAATTTATTCCCCCATGCAGGACAACCAGTTAGGTATGTTTCCTTTCATTTGATGCCTCTATTCACCTAGCAATAAATAAGTACCGGGGAGTTAGACAACTGTTGTGGTTTGCTTCCTGGAGAAAGGTCAGCCTAAGTACAGAATTCCTCTCCTTGACAACGGGAATTATGTCATACCTTTTTATTTCTAGAATATTTTTTGAAGCAGGAAAGTTTGATGTGCTAGGTTTATTCAAGACAGATAAAAGGAATGAGAAGTACGGTAAATGGAATAATGGTTATAATAACTTAGCAGAAGAGAATGAGAAAAGTAGGAAAAGATTATGCTTGTTGATGAATAGTGATATGAGACAATGGATAATGTATAGTTTTGCAGTTTTTGTTTATGAAATTCAACTTTGAAAGAGTAAAGGTAGCTAATGCAATTATATATGCACTGTGTGATGACAGAAGTGAAAATGATAAAAATCTCTTCAGAGTGTGTAAGAAAAGTGCCTTTCTAAACAGACTCACTTGATTGCCCCTCTAAGGTAAGATTCCATGTCATTGAGGGAAGCAAATCATGTAGGCAGATGGGTGATATTTGAGGTCTGGTGCAGTGCCACAGGGAACTTTTAAAATGTACCAGCAGGATCATATTGTTATTAAATAAAGCTACATCCCAAGTGAGCTGTAGAATGCTCAAGTTATGCACTCTCGAAAAGCCTTTACAAGCCTGCTTTGTCAACTCTGGAGCACCTAAGCAATCTTCTGGTTAGTTCGTCTTTTGTTATCTAGCCCTGCTGCTTCCAGTTGGCAGCAAATGCATCACAATAATCTAGTGTATCAAGCCTTCTTACATTATTTCTAACAAAAACTGCATACATGGGAGGATGAGCATGAGTGAGGGACTGGGGGACAACAAGTAAGTTTACTCAGAGATCTTCTTTTCATATACAGTGTATGAGTACAGGACTCATCGTCTATTATCCGAGTTATTCAATTTGGTTGCCCCATAGGTAAGCCTTGGGTCCTAATTGAAAACATCACATTATATACAAGAGAAGAGGACTGTCAGGCACATTAATCAGACACACAAATAGATTGATAAATATACAGTTATTGATGAACAGGTCAGTTGATGGTGGACTAATGTTGCCATGAGGGCAGCCTCAGTGAATAGCTTTATCAAAGTTCTTTGTGCTGAATATACTCGTGTAGATGTGCTTGCAGGGTTGAACATCGACTCCTAGACCTGCCTTCTGGACATTTATTTCAATGCAATGACTGTTTCAATTTTGTCATAATTTTTTTATTTGAAATCATTTCAAGCTAGTTTCTACCATTTCTTTGTGGAATCTATTCCACTTACTGATGACTGACAGTGTTTTTCACATTTCTGACTCTTTTTGCATTTAGTTTTTGTCTAGATACCCATTACCCCTTGTTCTGCCTTAAACATTAATGCTTCTTTATGTTCTTCAGCAATTCCCTATAGAATTTAGTTTGTTGTTGCTGTTATGTCAGCAGGATATATTCATTCTTCCTCTCCTCCAGCATGGTAAGGTCCAGGTTCCTCATTCTTTTCTTTTAACTCAGGCCTTTCAGCTCAGGAATGAGCTTTGTTTCATGTCATTAGATCTCTAATTTTGTTCTATGCTTTTTCAGACGAGGGTTCCATTCGAGGGCTGCACATTTTAGAATGGGTTTCACATATGTTGTATATTGAGCCCTGAAGACTCTTTTGTCCAAATTTCTAAAAGCTACATGGAATTTGATTAATTTGACTCGTACTGCTGATGTTATCTTGATGATAAGTGCTTATTGCATTAGATTTTTGGGATACATTTACCAGGTCTTTTACTTTTTATAATGTAAAAATTGTCTCTAATTCATCCAATACTGCTGTACAGGTCTTCTCAGTCCTGTCTCTGTCTTCATAAATTTGCATTTGGCTGGGTGAATGTTTAGCTGCTGTTGTTTAGACCACTATTGAAGTATCAGGATTCCTTTGCAGGGTATCACTCATCTGATTCTTCTCATTAATTTTACATCTTATGCATTTACTTATATGCAGGAGTTAATTTACTCCATTAGAAATAGAATGGGCCGTAATATAGACCCTTGTGGTACTCTGCTCATTGCCTCTTCCCACTCAGATATCTCCATTCTCACTGTAATCCTTTATTCCCTTGGCAAGAGGTACTCCCCCTTCACTTTGGCACCCTTCCAGATACACTAGACTGCTTCTCGAACTTGAGGAGGATTGTATGTAGGACAGTATAAAATGTTTTCCGACAATTGAGGAATATGCAATATGCTCATCTCTTTCTCTCATTAATTTCTATTTTGTTGTAGAACTTTTAATAAGTTTGTCAAGCAGAATTTTCCATCACTGTATCCAACCTGGTGTTTCGAGATAAAAATTTAGTTGCTAATTTTTAATGTTGTAATATATTACAGTATATGTAACATACTAGTTAGGAAAGTAAATACCTGTAAAATTTATCATTGTCATTAATCATTTGACATTCTGCATATACAATAATGGAAAATAATATATAAGCTGTTGCACAAGTCTCAATCTTTACACCTAGTATTTTGTCACTAGATTTTTCATAAATCAATTTATCTTTCCAGATGCTAATTACCTGCATAGACGATGGTAAAAATCCATGGTGGAATGCTTTCTCCCAAGCATGTAAAGATGAGTACGTAAATCTATATTTCTATACTATATACTATAGTTTTTGCTCCATAATTTACATATGAAACAAGTTCTTCCTGAGCTTTAGGTACAGGCAGCTCCCAGTTCTATGCATTCGTAGACACCAACTGTTGGAACATTCCTAAATTTGTTAAGATTTTGTGGGCAGGATCTTGCCAGTCAGAACAGAGGGACATTCTACAACAGTGCCACAAGGAACATTGAAAATATTTCTGCTGGGTTATACAGGTTCCTGGGAGGCACTGGAGAATATTCACTTTACCCCTGGATTGAAATTACATTAAAAACAAAAACCTTTAAAAGTCCTGCTTGGCACCATAAATGACCCACAAGGAGTAATTTTGCTAACTACCAGTTAGTCCACAAAGCTATTTCCATTCATCAACACAAGATGATAGCACCAACCCCACAACAAGGTTCCCTGACCTGATTTATCCCACATATATTCCAATGCAAAAAATTTTTATGCACAGATAGGGAAAGGATAAACCATGAGAGAGCAGAAACTACCAAGATATTAAGAATAGGGCTTTTCATATTTACTCAAAGATCATTTCCGAGATACCACCTTAACCTTGAGGTTACCTTGAGATGCTTCCAGGGCTTAGCGTCCCCGCGGCCCGGTCGTCGACCAGGCCTCCTGGTTGCTGGACTGATCAACCAGGCTGTTGGACCACACACACTGTTGCTTCCCCAACGTAAATAATAAGATCGGAGGCCCAAGAGAAGACCTATAATAAAAATAAGGGGTAAAACCCATTATGTTACCTACCAATTGAAGCCATAAATGCTAGGACAGTACTCCACTTCAAAATTTATCAGGAAAAATCCTCAGGAATAATGGAAATGGAGGGGTGGGGGAGACATTTGACAAGCCACCAGCTTCCTGCATTTGTCGAATCCACTATATATAAACATGATGGTCTTCAGGTAATGGCCAAACATAAGTAGTGTGTTATGAACATCAAAGTCCGTGTCTGATGTTACAGAGGACCATGAAGAAAGTGGAACAAGGAAAGTGTTTATTCACTGCAGCACACCAGACCTGAACCCCTGAATGATGCACTCTCCAGATATAATTAGAGACACTCAAATACCTATAATTACTCATTATTAGCACTGTGATAAGCTGAATCTTAGCACAAAATTTGAAGTTTTAGAAAAGTGAAACCAGGTTTAACTTTGCCAAAAATCAAGTCACTGTCTGCCAATTAACTTGGGATACAGTCAGAAAGAATTTAGCGCGGTTTTGGTATGGGGGGACTTTTAGGCGTGTGTCAATCTGGTGCCCGGTGATGGTCAGCACAAGTATCTAAGCAGGCCAACTATTATTCAGCAGAGACCTTTCATGGCAGTCACCTGAGGACACAGATTCAAGCTAATGAAACAAAGGTGCCAAAAAAATATTAGAAAGATTTCATTTGCAAGCAGAGTGGTTAGCCAGTTGGAACAAGCAAAGTAAGAAGGTGGTGGAGGTCAAAACCGTCAGTAGTTTCAAATCATTATATGACAAAGGGTACTGGGAAGACGGGGACACCACGAGCGTAGCTCTCATCCTGTAGCTACACTTGGGTAATTACATGTGATGTTAATGGAAGGTCCCAAAATGCTCCCAATTTTTATGAATGAACTTCTCTTGCTTATTCTTGGTTGATATTGAATTTTCTCTAGCTATTCCCTAGCATTTTAATGACTGTGTCCTATGTTCTTATCTTAGGATGTAACTGAATGGGATCACTCAGAAAAGACTAGAAATGTTATTAACAAAATCCTGTTAAAATTTATATAAAAATAAAGCACAGAGTGTAAAGGAGATGTATAAATTCACAGAGATAGAAGATTATTTTGGGATAGGTTTTTGATAACATAAAGGGCATTGAACAGGCCAGATTATGTATCAATGGGGGCTACCTGGAAGCTTTTCTATTGTGGCTACTAAATTTAAGAACAAACCATCAGGTATATATTTACAGAAGTAGTAAATAAAGATTGACAAATTAGCTTGAACTTTCTGAGTAAAGCAAATACCTGTACTGTACTGTATATTTCTTTCAGGGGTGTAAATCTTGTGAAGGAGATATTTCCTGCTGGTACAGACTCCAGGTTCCTAAGGGAGGTAAGAGTTAATGTTCGATGAAGTTCTTGCTGAATGAAACTAGTTACAGTACATGCAATGAATGAGCCCACATTAGATTGGGATAAGATAGTTCAATAACCCCATAGAAAAATGAAGTATCCAATGTAATTACCAGCATGTAATTTTTTTTATCTAAAAATACTTCGAATGACAATTTATTAAGTACAGCAAATGTCTTCACAATACAGTACTCACAATTGATTTGATTACACTTAGAGAAGGCAATATAAAATTGTTCATACTTGAGTGTTTAATTGATGCATTGTATTCTCCTCAGCTTGGTATCCCAGCCCTTGGGTTTTCTCCTATGAACCGAACACCAATCCTTCTCCATGATCACAATGAATTCCTCAACGAGAAAATATTTTTACGTGGTATTGAGATCTACAGGACCATTATACCTGCCCTTGCTAATTTGAAAATTTAATGACATCTTATTTGTGGGAGCATCAATGTTGATGATCTACACCACACTTCCATGGTTGGATGGTTTCACATACTAAAGAAAAGCTCCTATAGCTGGCTGATAAATACTGTACATGCAAGCAGTGATGTAGAAAGAATGTGGTAATGAGGTAATTACTTTAAGGTATACTGTAGGAATTTCCTGTAATTAAAATTATGTGTTGTGTGGGAAGACTGAATGTTATATAGGATTTAATTATGTTTTTAATATAAACAATATTATTTGTTAAAGTAGGGTGACTTTCAGAGTGTTTATTGAATTGTATGACTGAACAGAATCAAGAGGGTTTATACAAAAATACAATTTTTGGTAAATATCAACCAATTTGTGAGCAACTGTGAAATATTTTTGAAAATATGTGTAACTCCAAAAAAAACATTCACTGTTCATCCTTGAGCACCTAGTAGTAATGGGATAGGCGACACTTTCCTAGCATTAACTGATAATGAAAAGCCATTTGACCTATTTTTGACCTTTGGTAAGGAGATGGTGCCCACCCTGTGGTCCCAATCCAGATTCCACCATTTATGTTTCTGTGAAGGGTGCAGTTGGGACTTCAGATTAACTAAAAGGTAAAATCACCACTCAGTTGCCAGTGTGTAATCCTGGACTAGCAGACACTGCCAAGCACTGGGTGCCCATCTGTGCTGGTCACCTTAATACCTCGAGGTTACCTTGAGGGGCATAACTGGGGCATAACTGGCCGACCCCTCACAGTGTTCAAGAGAGAACTGGATAAGCACCTCCAAAGGATACCTGATCAACCAGGCTGTGACTCATACACCAGGCTGCGAGCAGCCGCGTCCAACAGCCTGGTTGATCAGTCCGGCAACCAGGAGGCCTGGTCGACGACTGGGCCGTGGGGACACTAAGCCCCGGAAGCGCCTCAAGGTAACCTCAAGGTAAGGTAAGGTAAGGTGATTTCGGGGCTTAGCGACCCCGCGGCCTGGTCATCGACCAGGCCTCCTTGTTGCTGAACTGGTCAACCAAGCTGTTGGACGCAGCTGCTTGCAGCCTGATGTATGAGTCACAGCCTGGTTGATCAGGTATCCTTAGTATGCCAGAACTTTTACATATTTTACAGTGATTCAAAACTCATTGCCCACAAACCCTGATGAATGTCTTGGTAGTTAGGTTTAATCTGAAAAGAAGAGTTCTAAAGTGATAATTTGTGACTGATATGAAATCCCAGTTAGTCCCTGAACTTTGAATGAATTAGAACATATAATTACCTAAGTGTAGTTACAAGATGAGAGCTATTTTCATGGTGTTCTGTCTTCCCAGTACTATTTGTCAATTGATGCTTTGAAACTACTAACGGTTTTGGCATCCACCACATTCTCACTTAAACCTTCCTGATGTTTTTTGGAGCTTTGTTTCCTTAGCTTCAGTCTATAAATGCTTGTTCTTGAAGATGTAGATTTCAAGAATTCTTTGTCAATCTCATTGATTCCTGTTATTATTTTATATGTACTGTAGTGATCATATTGGCCCCTTTTTTTCATGATCTGCCTGACTAAGCATCATGGGGATTGAAACTAGCCAAGAAGCTGGTGTCAAGACTTAATGGTCCACCCACAGCTCGGACATGGCAAGGGGGGGCATTGATCTCAGATAAAACAAATATCATTATGTTGGTGGTGCCATTATGTTCCTATGTATTAAAATAAGTACATAAAAATACAGGTTGGAGAATTATGGCAAATGCTAATTTGAATACCAGGAAATAGCGTATGCCTCTTAATTTACAGTGCAGTAATGCAGACAAATATTTTAATATTACTTACATTAATATAGTCAACTTCATTTATGTATCTATATATAATTAATTATCTTTTCTTTATAAGAGCCATTCATAAAACTTGCAAGAATGATAGACCAAAAAAAATATCTGTCCCACTGAGCTTTATGGTTAATAACATAGTGGAGCTTTAACATGCATGTATGCTATCATTCACTAAAAGTTGCACAGCAAGTGGGAGTGGCAGTAAAAAAAGTGAACCAAACTCTGGGAATAATCAAGCATACCTATACCTTCCAGAAAAAGAAAGTAGTCGTTCAATTGTATAAGTCTCTGGTGCGCCCCCACCTGGGTGCATGCATCCAGGCATGTAGACCTCATCTTCAGAAAGACATGGCTGCTTTGGAGAAGGTGCAACAAAAATCATACCAAAGCTTAGTCATCTCACGTATCAGGAACAGTTGAAGGCCACTGGGCTAGCAACACTGCAAACCAGGCATGGCAGGGCGGATCTCATCAAAACCTGTAAAATACTGAACAGTTTGGAGGATGTCGATCCGGACAATTTCTTCAAAAGGTCAGATGTAACACAAAAGAGAAGCAACGGGTTCAAGCTCAACAAACCACAATGTGGGACAGAAACAGGAGATGCTTTTTCACCCATAGGGTTGTAAAACCGTGGAACTGCCTACCTGCCAAAGCCGTAAACACCAAAACTGCTGAGTTTTAAAATACAGCTGAAAAAGATCATCAAGCCAAATGGTGGAAATTTTCACAAGCCACTGGCTACCTGTCCTCATCGAGGCCACTAGTATTAGTGGCCCTCAGGTAATACTGTAAGAGGCAATATAATATATTTTTGACTTATGTACATTAGGGTGTATTACCAATGTATCTGACAATACTCTAAGTAGAAATTAATGTTTTCATATTTGATGTATTATAGAACTTAATATCTTGCCAATCATTTTAGTGACACTGTATCATGAGATAAGATTATTCAGATAAATAAAAAGTTATGGTTATGCTTTAGTTAACCTCGTTTGATCAACTTTTTGTGACCACCCCCTAATATTTTGTATACCAAACGATATCATATCACTACTGTACTATGAAACTTGACTTTGCTGTGCATACTTTAATTTAGAGAAAATTCAATGAAATAATCAAACATTTTTGTATTGAACACTAAGCTTATATTGCATGTTCCATGCTAAACAATCGCACATCTCCTGTGCCAAGTAAGTCCATTACGGGCTCACCATAGCCCGTACTGCTTGGAACCTTTGTTCTCAGTAGATGAATCTAAAACAGCAACATCAGCTAAACAATAAGTAGCATGAAGGCAATAAAGATAAGGATTTCAGTGATTTTCTTCTCACTTTGCAACATGTATAAATTTGTGCTGTTAAAATTTCATCAGGTCTTGATATCAGAAAAAAGGTCATTTTCATGACATTATATAATCTCGGGGTATCATCATTTGCATTATATATTGTGCTGTTTTAGGAGAATGATAACCAATATAAATAATGATAGAAGCTAATCTCAGCCATGAGTTCTGGGAATCGTACAAAAAAAAAAGGGTCAGGAGGAAATCTGCCAAACCCTGCTTGCCTCATCACTCCCTAACCCTCGTGTCCCCATATTTACCACAGTCTGGACGCCAGCATGTTACTGTCTGGAATGAGAATAAAACTAGTACTTGGAGAGAATTGTTCCAACACGGTTAGGCATTTTAGCTGCGACTCAAACTTGATACATGCGTCTTTTTTTTTTTTTTCTTTCTCTCTCTACAGCTAAGACATTGGTCCACAAACCAAAATCATTATGTATGCCAAGTTAAAAATACAGCTACTGTAGATGCTGCCTGCTACAAGAATCCAGGTGGCACTTCCATCGCCAGCTGTGTCTGTTAAGTCAGAGCAAATCAGCTCGTAAGGTATGCAAGATCAACTCCTCTGACAGGTGGAGTGAAGCGCTTTTGTAGTATATATACAGTATATATATATTGTAAGCCACACGTCTATATTGTTACACGAGCACTACCTAACAGCCAGCTGCTCCTACATCAGCAGATGTCTTGTAGTGTCCTCTAAGTCATATCATCAGTGCCATGACTACACTTATAGTCGGGCGCCCTACACACTAGGGGGCCCTGGCAGCTGAGTGGACAGCGCTCAAGATTCGTAGTCATAAGGGTACAGGTTCGATTCCCGGCGGAGACGGAAGCAAATGGGCATAATTTTTTCACCCTGATGGCCCTGTTCACTTAGCAGTAAATAATTACCTCTGCGTTAGACAGCTGCTACGAGCTGCTTCTTGGGGATGTGTGGAAAAAAACCCAGTTCATTGACATATGTACAAGAATATGTAACAGTTGAGAGGCGGGCCTAAAGAGCCAGAGCTCAACCCCGGAAGCACAACTAGGCGAGTACTTGTCCACTACGGCTCACATGTTATTGAATCTCATTTGTGAAGCCCTAAATTTTCCAGTTGACTCCCTGTCCCACTGCAGCAGTAGCAACCAGGGTCATGTAACTACAGTACCTGCCTTATGACCAGGCAGCTATTTAAACTACCAAACTGCCCTCTACAGAAGTGGGACATGAGCATTCTCCCAACACTATACAATACTGAGAAACTAGTACACATTCGATCAGCCTAATGTGTTCGACGTCTATATGTTTATGCTATATTTTGGTATAGACTTTATTACCATTGTTGGAACAAGGAAGCCTGAACGTAAGCCTATTGAAGTCTCCAGACCAACTACTGACCTTCCCCAAGATGCAATTTCCACCCCCCACCCCCCCCCTCCCAACAGTTTGTTAACTCCTTAGTTATCATTAAGGAGTATATATGTTCATTCATATATACTGCTAGGTGCAAACGATGAGCCACAATGACGTTATCTTGAGATGATTTCGGGGCTTACTTAAATAGCGTCCCCGCGGCCCGGTCCTCGACCAGGCCTCCTTTTGTTACATACCCCCAAAAAGCAGCCCGTAGCAGCTAACTCCCAGGTACCTATTTACTGCTAGGTGAACAGGCGCATCATGGTGAAAGGAACTCTGCCAATTTGTTTTCGCCTCCACCGGGGATCGAACCCGGAACCTCAGGACTACGAATCCCGAACACTAATGAAGAACCGATGACGTTTCGGTCAGAAACGTTGTTGGTTTTTCATTTTCAGATGTGTGGGTTGGGACTCCACTGTTAAGTGAATAAATAAGGCATCCGATGAAAGGAAATATCCCTAATCGTTTCTGTCCTGCTGTGGGATTGAATAACCTGGGGTCCCTTGGTTGTGAACTGAAGACATAGACTACTATGCTACATGATCCATGACATCTATTCAGAAAAACTGAGCTCCCAAAACCTACATATATTTATTGTGTCCATGCATTGATTACTTCCAGAGATCTGTGCCTAAAGATCCCATAACTCTACAATTGCTGTTTTGTATGAAAAAAAAGAACCAGAGCTTGCATAGTACCCATAAAATTCATTGTTGTGTAGAGTGACAGTGCTGTTCTTATGTGAACTAGTTGCCAAATATAAGCATTGACAACTTAATGGAATCTGAAGCTTTAAGTATGGATGGAATTCAATCTAAAATCGTATCATTCTTCGCCTAACCCCCTAGATTAATAACAACAGCTCCCTAGATTGGGAATATCAGTATCTAGAGAAAGGATATTGGTGACATCCGAAAATTTGGTTTTAGTGTCCCATAACGGGCGCATTCGTCTTAAATATTACAATAAGAAATAATAACTAACACCTGAACACTAATTCTTGCTTTATTTCTTAATTATTTCCGTCTAATAATTATATATCTTCAGTGAAACATTTTAATTTGCTTGGTTTTATTGAATACTTAAAATGATTTATTCACTAAATATGTGTTATAAATAATAAATGTTTATTATTTATACATTCTATTTCTGTTCTATTATAAGATAAAATGATATACATTGATAATTGTAAGCACGTCCTGATATATAATAACAATAACAATAATTATATATTGGGACGTGTTTACA